CACACACACACACACACACACACCTATACATAGTACACTTCTGACTTTTCAAACTGTACCTATATATTGTCTGAGAGCTATGATTTAAAGAGATGAGTATACTATACAGACCAGCTCATAAACCATGCTGTCTCTTCTTTTGTGTTCAGGCAAGAGAAAATTCCAACTTAGATTTTGCATGTAGTAATATCATAGTAAGAAGTCAATGCTGTATGCAGCAGCTGCAGGCCCTCATGAACCTGAACACAGGGTAGATGTAGTGAGTCCTCTCAAGGATTATTGTAGAGAGCTCAACGAGCCTTGATTGGATCAAACACTTGCATTTTTTAAATTTTATTGAGAAACAAATAGCAATGAGACAGTTTCAAAACTGATTAATAGGACAGTTTCAATAATTAGTATATTGTACATTGTTATCTTCTTAGTGGAGTATAAGATGCAGACAGGATATCCTGTCCAAAAACTATTAGTACAAATCTTTCTTCTCATTGAATTAAGCAAAAGTAGCTGTAAATCTATCCTAACTATTCTGTATATACAGATACAAAATGGTCCTTTCTTTGTATCCTTTTTGTTTAGTCCTGTCAGAGATGGGTAGTCCATTGGCATCTAAATACTGTAGGTGAGTAAATTCAGCAAAAGTTCAGTAGTGGGAGAGAATCCTTCTTTGATTCTCTAGATGGGTCACATCTTGTGACAAGTCTCAGCAGCTGTGCATCTCCCAGCCAATATGTCCCACACCTTATAAAATGTATTCTATGTGTATTTTCCCCAGTAGACATCAATTTCAAGAGGGTGGGGATGTCTTGTTTATAATTGCTTTCCTTGGACCTAACTCAAGAGCCTAGCACACTGTTGGCCCTTGATATCTATTTGATATAGAGGAGTGAATATCATCAACCTCATTACATTGCCTTGTATATTGTGTTAAGTTGAAATATGCTCAATGAACCTTCATTAAATTGAATTTTGCACCACAGAGAGCATGTTATCTTTGAAGAAGGAAGGGTAACCCAAGGTCCACAGGGCTACCAGCTGTTGGGCATGAGTGTGTATGAATCTACTTCTAGCTCTGCTTGCAATTAGAGGCCATGGTAGTTTTTGGATCAACAAAGAGATTATTGCTCAGAGAATTTCACTAGACAATGTCACTAAACAGGGAACTACAGACTTGTGGGGCTTTCAGGCATAATATCATTTATCAACTTTGAAAGCTAAATGTCCATTCCATACAGCTGAACTATCACTAAATTTTCACTAGACTTTTTATCAGCTACCAATTCAACATGAATAGAATGGAAAGTTGCTCTACATACTTGGAACTCATTTTTATTCAAAAATGCAAATCCAGAGTTGCTTAAACCAGGCACAGTAGTCTGTGCCTATAACCATAATCCCAGCTATTCGGGAGGCTGAAGCAGGAAGATCATGAGTTCAAAGCCAGCCTGGGCAATTTTGCAAGATCCTGTCTAAAGAAACAAACAAACCTGCAGAGACACAGAAATAATCAGTACTATTTGAGAACTCTCATCACTTGCTCTACCGGGCATTACATGAAGACTGTTTTCTTCATCAAGGTAACAGGGCTAAAATAAAGTATATGGCTGGGAGAAAAGCAAGAAAGTGCAAGCCTCTTACCCACGGGTATTCCAGTTGCCACACATTAAGTATTCTTTGGAGTTATTTGTTTTTGCAAAGCAAGAATCTAAGAGAAGAAAGAATCATAAATTCAGATTTTTTTAAACTTAAAGGAAAAGAATAGCAAATATGCAGGATTATTCTCAAAAACATATGGGTTCTGCAGTATACTAAAAGCTGCTAAAGAAAAGAAACAGATCACATTTAAAGGAAAACCCATCAGAATAATGGCAGATTTTTCTTCACAAACCATCAGGTCAAGAAGAGCATGGAGCAAAGTACTGCAAGTCTTGCAAGAAAACAAATTCCAACCCAGACTGATCTATTCTGCAGAACTATCTTTCAAATATAATGGAGAAGTGAAATATTTCCATGACAAAGAACAACTAAAGAATTTCATGATGACAAAGCCAAGCCTACAGACTACTAAATGATGTTCTAGAGAGGGGGCAAATTGATCACAGCCCATGAATGAGAATGGAAAGAACCCGCCAAATAGGGCAAAAAAAACAGAGGAGAATTAGAGGTATACAGAAGTAGTCTTTCAGTTATTCTTTTGTATTTAGCAGCAGAATATTTCCATTAGCACACTCTACAAATGGACTTTTCTTCCACCCTATGGGTCATGATTCCACTTGAGTCTACAGGGTGGATTTCAAAGAAATAACTGTAGCTCACTTACACAAGTGACGCCTAGCCACCGGTAACTGTCACGGTCATTATGCATGTCCACAACACACTAGAACTTTGTGCGATATCCTATCCTCAAACTGTTAGAAGTGCTGGTCATTTATTTGCCATTCCAGTATTTATCTTATGTTTTACTCTTAGTACTTCTTTGCTATCATGAAAACTTTTTCTTAGTTCAATTGTTTTGGAACATTTAATTTTTAATTAATTAGTATTTAATTTTCTGAATATTGCTTAATCTTAATTTTTGTTCTAAGATTTATACTATATCTTTGACTTATAATTTATTTAAAAGACATTGTATGATATCTTCTCCTAGTATTAGAAACTTTAAAAAGTATATTTCCATTTTCTGTTGACTTAAAAAGAGATTTGTACCTATGTTATTTGCTTATTATTTCTGGCCTATATCTTGTAATATGAGAAACTACTTTGGCAATAACAATACACAATGTACTAACCATTGTTACTCTCCTAAAATCTTGTTTTGAGATTTTGTACCACTGCTTTTATTTTTTTTCTTTCTTTAAAATAAAAATAACTGATGTCAATAAAAAAATAAATAAAATAAAATAAAATTTTTTAAAAAAACATATAGGTTCTGGATCCTCCACCAGGCACATCCAATCTGTGGCCTGCCTTACTTTTGGTCTTTGTTTCTTTTAATGTTGCAATAACAATATTTTTAAAGTTAGTTGTGTTACATCTATATATTAACTATATTATAAGTTTTATATGTAGCCTAAAAAATTCCTCTTCACTCAAAAATATAAGGAAATTGAGTCATGAGTAGAACACACCTGTAAACTGATCAAAATTGGTATCTGCAGAGAAACTGAGTCTTAAGCCTTCAGGAGGGGAAAAGGAGGGAAAAGAAGAAGGAAGAAGAAATGAGAGGAGGACGTAATGACATCACCATCACCATTTCACCGCTTGGGGTATAATGCACATAAGCAGAGAGCACCCTGTGGGGGCTGCACATGACATATATGGAGAGAGTATAATGGTCACATGAAGACACATGAAAAGGTGCGGGGAAGGCCACAGTGTAGAGAGGGGGACAGAAGTGCTGCCACTGAAGAAAATGCTTGAGAAGGGGACTGTGGAAGTTGGTAGCTAACTTTGGCAAAATTGAGCACTGAATACTTTGAGAAACATGATGAAGAAGTAGGCTGAGATCTGAGTGGCAGAGGCTGGGAGCAGACACTGCTCACATAGATGTGGTTTCAGGCTTTTTCTCCGCCAGAGAAACCGAAAGATGGGAAAGGCACTGCTCACATGAAACCTCGGAATAGATAAAGCTTTCCCTTGTTCTCAGACCCAACTATGCAGGTGAAATGTGAGGTGATAAATGAAAGTTATCATTATGCAGGATAATCTGGATAACTGTACTGCGATTTCTGTTGGTCTTTTGTAAGCAACAGTTAATGCTAAAAAATATTTTTCCTTTTTAATTTCTTATAACTTTTTTATTGTTGCTTTGTTTTTAAACCAACTTTGCACCTTTATATCTGGTAACCTAAACAACTAATTTGAAGATAACATCATGCAATACAACAACCATTGTTGAATTCCTATTACTTTGTTTAGTGAAATTTTGTATCATTTCTAATGCAATTTTTTAATTACTATTTTGTATTCTTCAAAAAAAGAAAAAAAAAGGAAAAAGACTCTCTCTCATACACACACACACACACACACACACACACACACATTCACACACATACACAAAGTTAACATGCACAAACCAAGAATGGAATATTTACCATTTGTCTCATGGCTACTGTTACAACCATCCTTGACACATTTCTGGCTCAGAATTTCTTGGAAAAGCTGCTGACCTACCAGGGCGAAGATGCAGAGGCAAAAGAGGGTGAGGATCATCACGTCGACAAGTTTCTTCACTGAGCGCAGTAAGGCCCCCACGATGACCTTCAGACCTGAGGAGGAGGACAGGTGTGGGGAGGAGTAGCCCCATGGGGCCCAGCCCAGATATGGCCAGGACAAGGAGATTGTACAGATTGTCACATGGCAGGTGGAACTGTGAACCAGCTTGGCCTTAGAAGCTGTGTGTCATCAGTGCAAACAAACCCTCTGCCTACACCTTCACCCTTGCCTGTACTGCTCAAGGCCACTCTGAGGAGCAAGTGAGGAGACTGAGCAGAACCATGTCAGGTGAACATGCACATAATGTAATGACAGTTTTGAAGGTATCCCATGGCTGAGGGCCACAGCAGTGTCAGAGAATGACACAGGCCTGTAGTTAATATATTTAGTCCCTCTCTACTAATCAAAGTACGTGAGGTATCCCAAAACTTCCTCCAATAAAGCTTTGCCTGTGCAGGACTATGTGTGCTTGCAATATTGCTACCATCTCTGTGTCAAAAGATCCCATCATCCACAATCAGAATGACTCCAAGTGATGCAATTTCAATTGATTAGTGTGGATCATGAATGGGAGAACCAAAGGCAAGGGAAGTGAGAGCATAAAGCAGTATCCAGCGAGACCAACACGACAGTGGTCAAAGTTCTTGGAGAGTGATCCCAGGTGGGGAGAGGGGACTTGAGGTTACACTGTGGCCTCACTTCAATCCCAGGTGCAGCCAGCCTTAGCCAAGCCAGGTTTTAATTTGTAACAAGAAGTTTGAGTCTTCTCAATGCATATTTAGATAAAAGACACTTGAGATTTTGGACTGATTTTCAGAGTCTCACAGAAGGCTGTACCTCTACCTTTACTTCCAAAAAGTAAGTATCTCACTGAGTTCATGGGCACAAAATGAATCTGCTAGGAAGGAGAGACAATTCCCATACGAATGTCCTCTGGCTGCCAGTTTCTTCATCAGTATATAGTTGCTTTCCCGGAGTCAAAAAAATAACCCACTGCTCTAGTTTCTAGAGAATCCAAACTGCTTAGAATTCAGGTATTGGGAGGTATGAGATAGTCTATGTAATCAAAAGAACCAAATAGTTCCCACAGCATTTATAGTTTGCCAAAGCTACTGGAAGAAAGAGAAAGTGGGAAAGAGAAAGGATTCCAGAGACAGGAGATTTTTAAATAAAGTGGGAATCTTTCAAATCAAAGAGAGGAAAGGGCAAAGAGAAGAGGTTATGCCAAAACAACAGGTTTTAACAAACTGGAATTCATATTCTCAACCTATCCTTGGCTTCATCCTGATTCCCAGGGGTAAACTGTCAACCTCACTTGGATTCCAGAGGACATCTATGGTTTCCTTCCCACTTCACTTGTGGCTCCTACTCATCTCTTTAGCTCGTTCCTCCACCCCTCCCCTTAAGTGTAGCAGTGCCTTGGAGCTCAGTTCTTAGTCTATACTCATTCCCTTGCTGATCTCATTTGATTTCATGGCTTCCACATCATCTATAGACCCAAGACACCTATCTCTAGCTCAGACTGCCCTGGAAATCTCAACTCATTGATACTTCCATCTGGATGTCTCAGTGTCATCCTACACACATGTTCAAAGCCAGCTCCTAATCTGACTCATTGAACTGCTTCTCTCATAGCCTTCCCTGTTCCAGTCAATGACAACTCCATCTGTCTAGGCACTCAGGCTGCAAATCTTGGTATCATCCTTGGCTCTTCTCTTTTACCCACACCACAAATATCATTGGTCAATTATTGTTTCTACGTTCAAATTTATAGGCTCTATTTTCTGCCAACTTTCTGACCATCACCTGACCTACAGCACCACCATCTGTTGCTTGAATTATGAACTTCTGTGCCTCTTTGGGTTCTGAGAAGCTGTTCTGGAATCAGATGTACAAAAGATTTGTTGATGAAAATAACTGTGACAGCTGATGGGGAGCAAGAGTTGTCAGGAAAGGACTTCAGTTTTCAATGCAGTTCTGGAATCTAAGAAAAGGGAGAAGAGAGCAAAGCAAGATGGGATAGGAAGAACCTATGGAGCTGTGAGAGCCTCAGCCAGGTTACCAGGCAGCCCTGAACCAAAGTTCCCCATTAGAGGAGTCTCAGATCCTCCAGGAACAGACCAGCACTAGCACCCAGGCCACATGGGGCAGGTAGGACTTGGGCATGAGTGTACACACAGAGGGTGACTCCAGAGGGTTCCGGCAGGAGCCATCCATTCATCACGCTCCCTGAGGCAGATCAGAAGAGCACTTCCACAGTGACCACCATGTCTTTCTCCAGGTTGTCCTGCTCTGTAGCTTCCTCATATTGTATTCTTCCATTTCTCCAGAGGGAAGCTTTGCTCTCCATGCCTACAGCCTCCCCTCAATCCTGTGATTTGCTCCCTCCTGGCCTTCTCACTCCCCTAGCCCCATCCACAACCTTACTGCCTCTCAGTCTCTGCACTGCTTCCCATCATTAGAACATTCCTTCCCATATGCCTGTTCATGTGTCATCACCTTCAAATCTTTGCTTACTTCTCACCTCAGTTACACTGATCCTGACCACTCTACCTGAAACCACAACCTACTTCCCTTATCTGCTATAACTTCCAATAACCTTCATGTAGTCTGTTCTCTGTATTTTCCATGGCACATAGCAGGTTCTAGTATGCTACACTGTTACTCTTTAAATCTACTCCCTTGTTCATGTCTCTCACCCCATTCCCTGACCTTACAGCAAATACTCTAGGAGTAAGTGGTCTTTGTGTCCCACAGATAAATCCTAAACACCACAGTGACTGGGTGTATAAGGTGCTCAATGGTTATCGGTTGAACAATCAAATAAATGGGTAAAATAGAGACTATTTTGGCTTTTGTTTTACATAATGTCATTTTGAAAAGTTCTAAGTATAAAACAATATCCTCTCCACCTGACAGTCAGTGTTAAAAGTTAGATTGGCTTACCAGAAACTACTGAAATTGCTTTTAGAGCTCTGAATATTCTGAAGGTACGCAGAGACAACATGCTGAATTTGGCATCTGGAATAAAATCTGCAATCCTACAAGATGGAACACAGAGAAAGGCTTGACTTAGTCCTGCAGATGCACTTACTCTCCATTTCCACAAAATCTGAGCAAGCACACCCTGGTGCCTGTGTCTCCCAAGGCAAAGTGTGCAGCCCCACCTTGCTCTCAGAACCTGGCAATATCACATTCATTGCTATGGACCACAAACTTATATATGGACACAAGTGAAAGTGCTTGAAGTTGTCCATGCAGCTGTGGCTATATCCATAAATAATGGAAACCCACACAAATATCAATTCACTGGTTGCCAAGTTCCAAACCCAGTACACTTTGCTAAGTTCTCCCATCTAAGATTGACATGAACCCAGGTGATCTGACTCTAAACCCACACACTCACAGCATCTTTCAATTAATAAGACCATGGAAATGTTGAAACTCAAACATAAAATGCTAAAATTAGTAGGGAGGACATGCAAGGACTTTTATGAATATTAAATAGGAGAACAGGGCCTGGGGAAATAGCTCAGCAGTCTAAGCACCTGCCTGACAAGCACAAGGACCTGAGTTTGATCCCAGCATCACATGCTGTGCTGGCCCTGGAAGCCTGGGCATGCCGTGCTAGCCCCAAAACTGGTGTGGTGGTACAAAGCTGTAAACCCAGAGCTGGGGAGGCTGAGAAGAGAGGATCATTACAAGTCCAGGCTGTGTAGCGAGACCGTGGTATCTAATTAATTAATTATTTATTTAAAACAAAAATAAACAACAAATAGAACACTGCATTGCAAAGTACTAACGTAATTCCTGGCACACACACACATTATAAGTTCATTATTATTGTGCTGGCAGTAGGCCATTACTTTTTACTCCATTTCATCATTTAGATGCTAAATCAGTGTCTTGTCCTTCAGGAAAAACATTAACCTCCACTGCACCCTTTACACAATTGACTCAAAGAAGACATAAGTACAAACACAAAAGCCAAAACTATAACATACAGGGGTAAACTCTTTGTCTGTTCAAAGTAGTTGAAAGTATTTTTAAGTCCTTTGTTCTTCCCACAGACTCTGACAGCCTCATCCATGCATAGCCTTTATCCTGCACTCCCTATACCATGCTGCACTGGTCACTGCCATTCTTCCCCTCTGCACTGTGGGCTTCATGAGGTTGACAGCTCTTATTTGCTTTCTTTTCCTTCAACCCCTGTATACTGCACAGAGCACAGACACCAGTGTTGATGAGTGAATGACTGATGAAATGAGGCAATGAGTGCTGGATTTGTGCCTGGAGGCCTCTGGCCAATGGCCACACAGTGTGCTTCAGGGCCAAGTAGCAAGACACTTAGAGCTTTAGACATTGTTAGGTCTTCTCAGCCACACATGCAGACCCAAGGGGACTGATGGAAGCAGATGTACTTCTTTCCCACCCCAGGTCTCTCCAATAAAAATCTTTAACATTCTTACGCTGATCCAATGACAATGGTATCGAGCCAGTTCCATGGATCTCGAAGGAAAGAAAATTCATCCAGGATAAAGCCTCTTGCAAGTATTTTGATCAGAGCTTCCAAAATATAAATTGCGGTGAAAATACATCTATAAGACAAACCATTTGGAACAAGAAGGAACATGGTAAGTGATGAGAAAGGTAAAGGTCTCACCTGTCTCATCTGGCCTTGATACTTTACTATATATTTCAGTGTACTATTTAACACTATGGTCTTCAACAAGAGTTCAGAAAGGCAAGCTCCTTAAATTCTGGTATTTTGAATCTCCAAGAAACAGGCCCATGAATAAAGCCATAAAGAAAATATTTGCAAATAAAGCATTTCAGTGCTGAGCTTCAGGACCATATTCTTGAGAATGGTTTCTGCCAACAGAGCCAGGGACAGGAAGAGGTAGTTAGCATCACCACTCTAGAACTATCGCAATGCTATGCAGGAGGGGATAACAGGGAGGAGATGGTGAAGAGATCAAATGACAAAGAAAAACATTGGGTCTGAAAAAAGGTATAGAGTGTAGCTCAATGGCTGATGGGTATTGTATATAGGATTTAGGACTGGGGGGGGGCTAAAAACAGTAGAAACAGTAGAGAAAGTTAAATAAAAATAAACTGACAAAAAGATTTAAAAATACATTTAAAGTTTCATATATTTCTGATAGAAATATAAAATGGTGCAGTCACTTTGGCAAAGTTGGCAGTTTCTTCCAAATTTATATACATATGTATTACAGGATGCAACAATTCCATATCTAGTTAGTTATACAAGAGAAATGCAAACATATTATCAATAAAATGATTTTTTATACAGAAATGTTCAAGGCAACTTCAACATTAGCCCCAAACTACAACTCAAATTCCCATTAATAGAGAGAAGAAGTAAGTTGTGGTATATCCATACAATTGGAATACAACTAAGTAACAAAAAGAGCAGGGAGAAAACTGATATACACACTAACATAGATGCATCTAAAGAGACCATGCCAAGAGAAAGAAATCAGACCGAAAAGTCTGGGATAATAAGTACAATCTGATTCTTTGTGTATGAAATTCTAGAAAAGGTGAAACTAATCTAGAACAGCAGAAAGGAGGTCAGTGTTTGCTTGATGCTGGGAGTAGGAAGCAGATGACTGACTGAAGACACATGAAGAGATTTCATGAGATGACTGAAATGTCCTCAGTATTGACTGCAGTGGTGTCTAGCATGTAGTTAAATGTATGGAAGAAGTACAGGGTCTCTTATTTATTCAATGTATTATTCAATACATTCTTGAAGGATTAAAGCAGTAAATATGTTAAACTGGAAGAACTGGTACAAGACATTTAAAAAAACAATTTCTACACTGACAAATGATCTACAAACTGAGGTATAGGGTTTCAGGTTAAATCTGGAGGGGATTTGACTGATCTTATCAGATACAAAAGTTACATTTCTTGTTACATAGGTCTTGCTTTATCTTGGTCTTAACCATCCAACAGAAAAGTATGAAAATGAAGTATAAAAAGTAAAGTCATATTAATATGCTGAGCTGTAAAAGGCTCAAGTCAACAACTTTGGACATTGACAGTCTTAGGGAAGACCCACTACTATTATGGACTATTGGACTATATTTGGATATTTTGCTGAATTCATGCACCTATGGTATTTAAATGACAATGGAATGTCCTTCTCTGACAAAACTAACCAAAAAAGGGAGATACAAATGAATGACCCTTTTGTATCTGTATACTCAAAATAGTTAGGATAGATATACAGCTCCATTCTCTTAATTCAATGAATAGAGAGGTTTGTACTAATAGTGTTTGAGACAGGATATCAGGTCTGCATATTGTACAATGAATAACCACTAAGACAACATTATGCAATGCATTAATTATTGAAAATGTACTACTAATCAGTTGTAAAACTGTCTCATTGCTATTTGTTTCTCAATAAAAATATTTTTAAAGATTTCTAACTTAAAAATTAGCTCGTATGCCTAAAAGGCTAATGAAAAAGGCAAATAGTTAATTTTTAGTTTTAAAAAATTCACTCAAGCTAAAGAAGAAAGCATGGTATATAGCAAAGATGGAAATACAGAATTCACAACCTAAAACATCAAGTCTTACCCATTTGAGTAAATTAAAGAAATATAGCTATTTTAACTATATCAATGGGACAAGAAAAATTGACTTCTAGAAAGAATATATGATTTATGACTAACAATATAAATGATAGAATAAATTCATATAGACTTTTTGAAAAAAAATTTGTCTATATATTTAAAAGCATTAAAGTGTACTTTTGATCTAGGAAACTCTAAGATTCTATCCTGGAGAAAAATGATAGCTTTAAAAGAGCCTTATTTTAAACTCCTTTAAAATACTAAAGAAGTTAAGTAAATTAGTTTATTTACCTGATAAAAATACATAACCAACAAAATTAATTCCTATGAAACTTACTTAAACACAAAGAAAACCAATTAAAATCTAGATACAAAATTGCATGAATGCTGCCTATTACAAATGTAATTTTAAGGGCATGCCAGATAGCTCAGTGGATTAAAGTGCCTACTTAGGCAGATGCAGGGACAAGGGTTCAATCCCTGGCATGTAGTGCTGGCCCCACCCCCTGGGGCACCCTGAGACTGGACATAATGGCACACACCTGTAATCCCAGCACTTGGGAAGCTGAAAACAGGAGGATCTCTACAAGTTCAATCTGTGTATTAAGACCCTGTACTAAATATATTTTTATGAAATATAATTTTAAAAGTGCTTTGAAGACAGCTGTGAAAAGTACATGAGGAGTCACATGCAGGAAGCAGTTTATACTTCCTGCATCAAGACAGCTCTGAAAACAGCCACTCTGCAATGAGAAAACTACCGTTTGAAGCTGAGCCACCTCAGGGATGAAAGTCACATTAAAACACTACTACAGGATTGCTAAGGGCACTCTGCCAGTGACTAGGTAGGAAGCAAACACAAGAGATAGTGGTAGAGACAAGGAAAGCTATCAGATTTCTCCCAAGCAGTTTGAGTAGCAGGGATCTCAGGCTCTGGAAGGCAGGTGGTCAGCAGCACTGCCATCTGTGGTGAGCAGTCAGATCGTCCTGTGCGGTCTCAGGGAGCTGGGTCTGAAAGCAGCAGAATCTGGCACCACAGATCGCTTGGTTTCCCTCGCTGCTCCCATCCAGCACAGTACTCAGGGTTTGGTTTGCTTTCCTACCCCCAAGGCATGCACCTCTGCTTGCACATTTGCCACATACCTAGGTACACGGCTGGAAGCAGAGGATCTAGAGCAAGTGGGAGTACTAGTATCTTTTTTCTAGAGCTAGTTGGACAAAGCAGTGGCTTGGAGCATACAGAAGGATCCAAACAAAAGCTAGAAGTTTCTGGGGTAAATAAATCTGAGGCAGACAACATAGCATTAACCGACTCTCCAAAGCAGAAAAGGGGAACAAGGACTCAGCATTCACACAAACAGCCTGTGAAGTGGGTGCTGAAGTACAACAGGACCCTATTACAACTCCCTATTGCTCCATGTACCTGGTAGGTTCTAATACTTGTAGGTCCTAGAAATAAACTTTACCCATACAAACACTTTGACATGGAGGATTTTTTGTACTTATTTTTCTTTTTTGCTTCTTTTTGGCCTTTCTTTCTTCTTTTTTTTCATGTTAATTGGTTGGCTTTTCTTATTACTTTTACCTAATTTATTTTTATTCTTTAATTAGGGTATGTGTGCATTTATATGTGTGCACACATGTGTATATGTTACTGAAGATTGAACAAAGAGCGTTTACTGTGAGTTACAGCTCTAGACCATTTTTATTTTTTATTTTGAGGCAGGGTCTCACTCATTTGCTATGTTTCCCAGGCTGGGTTCAAACTTGCAACCCTCTTGCCTCAGTCTTTCAGAGCGCAGGGATTATAGCACAAGCCACAAAGACCAGCTTAATCCAATTTTTAATATCACATTTTTCCTACTGCTTGTAGGAAATGAACACATACCCTAATTAACTACATCTTACTCATTTTCTTTTTAGTTTTTTTAAAGAGCAGAATATATTTATTGGGGGAAAGAAAGCTCCTGACCAAGAGAGGGACAGAAGAGTGACCCTGAGTGGGTGATCCCCAGGAAGCTGTCTCTTCTAGGGACTTTTATAGAGGAACACCATGCAGTGAGGCAGGTCTAAGGTGGTAGAGAAGTCATGGAAACTCGCTTAGGTGGGCATGAGGTGAGACAAAACTATGGTCAATCAATGAGATTACAAGCACCATTGATCAGGTTAAATGGATTAAATCCAGTATCAAATGGGGAAGCGAGTCACATAGCAAGCAGGCATTAAAAACAAGACAAGGTCTCTTCCTGTTGAAGGTTGGGTTAGTGATTCATTTGGGCTCTTTTAAGGTGTCTGATACTTATTTAGAATATCAATTCCTGATGCTCATCCCTAGGGAAGTATGTAGCTGTATTTGTTTTCTCTTTTGTCTTGAAGCCTGGCCTATAGTGAGTGTCTGTCTCTTCCAAGTTGCAAAGTCACCTTGTCTTCCATATTGTCTCCGTGAGGGCCTGGTCCTGTCTGACTACCTATAATATTTTTTATCTAATTCAGCCACCTACAACATTCCCCCCTCTGAAGAAGTAACCTGAACTGCCATGAGGGAATCTTGGGCAATGACCGCTCTGGTCAGGCTGAAAGGGGTCATAGTTGTTGACCGGCAGTCAGAGATACTCTCCAGAGGTTCTATCTAAAGGCCCTCAATAGACACTAGGCATTTTTATCTTGAGTGGGCATATAGCTTTGAGTCTGGAGGAGAAAAAGCCAAACAATTAAACACACATGGGTCAAATAATCACATCTAAAGGATAATTATGAATATAGTCAAAGATTTGTATCAGGTAGACAGTAATAACTTCCCATAAAAACAATAAAGATAGGGGCTGGTGAGATGGCTCAGTGGTCTAAAGCACCTACTTAGAACAAGCTTAGCAAAGTACAGGGACCGCGGTTCAATCCCCCAGTACCACATGCCAGCCAGCCCCGCCCCCTGGTGGGCTGAGCTGGCCACACACACACACACACACATAAATAAAACTTTTTAAAAAATG